GCAGTTGTATGTAAAAACTGGTTTTCAACAAGAGGTGGTTGGTGGGGGCTGGAGAGATGGCTCAGTGGTTAAGAGCATTGCCTGCTCTTCCAAAGGTCCTGAGTTCAATTCCCGGCAACCAAGTGATGGCTCACAACCATCTGTACCGAGATCTGGCGCCCTCTTCTGGCCTGCAGACATACACACAGACAGAATATTGTATACATAATAAATAAATATTTTAAAAAAAAAAGAGGTGGTTGGTGCACACCTTTAATTCCAGCAAGTGGGAGGCAGAGGCAGGTGGGTCTCTGTGAGTTAGAGGCCAGCCTGGGCTATGGAGTGAGTTCTAGAACAGCCACGGCTACACAAAGACAATCCTGTCTCAAAACAAAACTGGTTCTTGGGGGCTAGAGAGACGGCGGTTAAGAGCATTGCTTGCTCTTCCAAAGGTCCTGAGTTCAATTCTCAGCAACCACATGGTGGCTCACAACCAACTGTAATGAGGTCTGGTGCCCTCCTCTGGCCTGCAGGCATACACACAGACAGAATACTGTATACATAATAAATAAATAAAAATTAAAAAAAACCTGGTTCTTCATACCATGTTGGTTTTTATCTTTTTATTTAGTGAATCACCCCATATGTGAAATATAACAGGAATTCTGGTTCATGTTTTCTACCATGCTGGATCAATTCATAGACTGTTATATTTTATTTGACTTCTGAACGGTGAGTTGTGATTTTCCTTTGTTCTAACCTGTCAACAATCCTCAGAAAGAACTTGACTTCAGGGACTGGGGTTATGGAGAACACATACAGGTCAAGGCCTTCTTCAGAGTTGTGCCCCAAAGTCACCAGCACTCAGAATCCAATCTTTATAGTTAAAGTGTTTTTTTAAAAAGGCCATTGAGGGCTGGAGAGATGGCTCAGTGGTTAAGAGCATTGCCTGCTCTTCCAAAGGTCCTGAGTTCAATTCCCAGCAACCACATGGTGGCTCACAACCATCTGTAATGAGATCTGGTGCCCTCTTCTGGCCTGCAGACATACACACAGACAGAATATTGTATACATAATAAAAAAAAAAAAAAAGGCCATTGAAACAGCTCAACGGATAATAGCTATCAGGAGATGTGGTGATGTTTTAACAAATAAAGCTTGCCTGAAGATCAGAGTGCAGAGCTAGCCAGTAGTTAGCCATAGAGGCCAGGTAGCGCTGGAACACACGTTTAATCGCCACACTCTGAGATCTCTGAGAGCCCAAGGCCATCCTAGGCTATGCGAGTTGGAATCCACCTTAAAGAAAGTACTGCCGGCAGCTCACACCTTTAATCCCAGCACTTGGAGGTGGAGTCAGGAGGTGGTGGCACGGTGGGCGGGGCTTAGAGAGGATATAAATTCGGAGGGGAGACAGGGGCTTGTGTTTCAGTCTGAAGTTTCATAGAGGCAGCATTCAGTCTGAGCACTTGTAGAGAGAGGATACCGTATTCGGTCTGAAGATTTGTGGAGATAAGAACTAGTGGCCTGCTCTATTTCTCTGATCTTTCAGCTTTCACGCCCTAATATCTGACTCGGGGTTTTTACTATTAAAACCAATTAGAATTCGCACTGCCAGCGACAAGACTCGCGTCCCCTGCGACCCGAGACCCGGGCCCAGCCGGATTTTTCTCTTCGGGCAGACATGGACTTCAAAGAGATCCTCCTGATTGCTTCCAAGGGACAAGGTGTCAACCATGTTCCGAAAAGATACAGTTTGGCAGTGGGGCCTCCTAAGAAAGATCCAAAGGTGAAAGGTGTCCAGCCGGCAGCTGTGCAAGCTTTCCTGCGGAGGAAAGAAGAGGAGCTTAGGCGGACCGCCTTAGAGGAGAAAAGGAGGCGAGAAGAACTAGTCAGAAAACGAATTGAGCTCAAACATGACAGGAGAGCCAGAGCTATGGCCAGAAGGACAAAGGACAATTTTTATGGCTACGACGGGATTCCTGTTAAGGAAAAGACAAAGAAGAGCCAGAGAGCAGAAAGCCGCCCAAACCAGGGCACTGACCCAGAGTATGAGGTGGAGACAGGAGAATTCCCAGACTACAGTCAGGGTGAGATGGAGCAGGAATTCAAGGAGGACCAAGAGCCTCTCAAAGCTGAAAGCCAACCAAAGGCCTCCCTTAAAAGGACCCCTCCCCCCATGACCTTCACTGAATTAATGAGGTTAGCTGAGAAGAAGCAGTTTGAACCAGTGGAGGTCAAGGCAGTAAGAAAAGCAGAAGAGAGGCCCTTGACTGCAAAGGAACTCAGGGAGCAAGAGTTTCTTGGACGAATGCGTAAGAACAAGAAACCTGAGACAGAAGCCAAATTCCCTCTGCCTGTGTCTCCCTTTCATAGAGACAGTGTGGGCACAAAACCCAGCAAGGGTTCTGGGGACAGGCAGCCTTTTTCCAAAGGATTGCTGTTTCCTTGTGCTGAGAAGACATCCAAACCTAGCACAGGCAAGGAGAAGCAAGTAGCTTTGTCTCCATGCAAATCCACTCCAGGAGAGAGGATTAAGGCCGAATCTGGCAGTAGCTCCCAGGCCTCACACAATAGACCTGTCTCCCATGGGGCTGGAAAGCCCCAGCCCAGCACCTGTTCCTCAAGTGTCCCAAAGACTTCTGCTAGTGGGACTCAGAAGTCTGCTTCTGAGCAGAAAGCCAGAAAACCTCTTCCTTCTCATCCAAGTCATTCCAAACCTGGGCCCACAGTCTTCCCACACAACAAAGCTAAGAGTCCAGGTATCAGACAGCCAGGCAGCAACACCAACTCAGCTTCTGGACGACCTAGCCCAGGGACAGCTTGGCCCACAGTTAGTTCTGGCGCCATGCCCAGGCGCCAGAACAGCAGCTCCAGCTCAGGACCCGAGCAATCCATCAGTGGGATCAGAAAGCTGGCCAGCAATCCGCATCCCTCTGGACGAACAGTCAATGGCACAAATGGTACTGGACTACCTGCCAGCAGCTCCACTGGCCCTGGGCAACCCATCAGTAGCCCTGGTGGTTCTGGAAGATCTTCGAGCAGTTCTGGAGGTCCTAGGGGGCCTGTAAACAGTCCACATGACATCCGACGACCAGTGAGCAGCCTAGGTCCCCCTGGACGGTCAGTCAGTGGCCCTGGGAGGTCTATAAGTGGTTCCGTTCCAGCTAGAAGGACTGTCAGTTCAGGCCCTGGAAGACCAGTGAGCAGCTTGGGACCTGGACGCACAGTTAGTAGCCCAGGCCTCCCCATAAAACCCAAGTGCACTGTTGTCTCAGAAACAATTTCTTTAAAGAATATTATTAGTCAGTCAAGCAATGGACAGATAAATGGAATGAAGCCTCTGCCGTCTGGCTACAGATCTGTCCCAGGTCCTCAAAGGCTCCCCTTCCCTACTGGCTACAAAAGGCTTCGAGAGTGTAAAGAAGAAAGTGATGATGAATATGACCCAGACATGGATGATTTCATCGAAGATGAAGGAGACCCTCAGGAAGAAATCTCCAAGCACATTCGGGAAATCTTTGGCTATGACCGACGAAAGTATAAAGATGAAAGTGACTATGCTTTACGTAACATGGAGAGCAGCTGGCAGGAGCAGCAGAAGGAGGAAGCCAAGAGTTTAAGACTAGGAAAGCAAGAGGACCTCCAGGAGATGAGACGTGAGGAGGAAGAAAGGAAACGCCAAAAGGCCAAGAAGCTGAAGCTTCTGAAGTGAGCTCCTGCTAACTTTGTGAATCTAGGACACTGGTGCAAGGATTTCTGCCTTCAACTGAACAAGCCCCTTACCAGTTTAGATGGACACCTGGGCACTCAGGGGGAAGGAATGAGAGAATGCAGACTGTCCTGTCATTGCGGGCTATCATTTGAGTGTACTGCGTTATCAGTGTTCTCAAAGAGACCAGGGTGGAATCTATAATGCATGTGATACGATGTGTGCTCTGAGCTCTGGTGAAGTTATCCCTTCACTGGTGCCGGCTTAGATCCTGAGGAGCTGTGCACGCTCATGTCGGGGACAACTACCAGTCAGCTGGTCTTTTATTGTTCCTTTGCTACTTTTGAATGGAGACAAAGATTGATGTGTGAGTGGGGTACTACCCAGAACTCAGTCGTACTTGTCCTTAGGAACGGCCTAGCCCTTCTTTGAATGCTGCAAGCAAATAAATAAAAGCTCATACCCACACAGGACAACACATACATGAATACAAAATAAAGAAAATGTAACTTAAATTTTGTTGGTTTGTTTGTTTATTCAAGACTGGGTTTTTCTATGTAGTTCTGGCTGTCCTGGAACTTGCTCTGCAGACCAGGCTGGCTTATAACACAGAGATTTGCCTCCTGAATGATGAGATTAAAGGAGTGTGCCACCACCTCCTGGCCATTAACTTAAATTTTTAAATGAATTGCTCTATTTTTAATCCCTCCCCTTTCCCTTCCTTCCATTCTGTGAGGGCAGATGCCTGAGTCCCCAAGGAGGCAGTCAGAAGTTACAGGCGGTTGTGAAGGTTTGATGTGGGACCTGAGAATCTAACGTGGGTCCTCTGCAGGAGCAGTAGACACTCCTCTGAGCGGTGCCTATGGAGGCTGGGATAGAGTATCAGATACCCTGGAACTGAAGTTACAATCGAGCTACTATGTGGATGCTGGAAACAGAATCCTGGTTCTCTACAAGAGAAGCCAGCGCTCTTAACCAGTGATCTTTCCAGCCCCGTTTTTAACTGGGAGGTTCAGTAGGCAGTAGAAAGAGGTACTACCACAACTTCACCTACCATAGCATGCTCCTCTCCATTGGCACTAAAACTGAAAGATGGGTTTAGAGCTTAGTCCCCCGCCCCTGCTCCTGTAGCCCCGACCCGCCCCCTCGTGGCCACGCCCCCTAAGGATCCATCCTGTCTCGCGTGGCTCAGCTCCCTGAGAACTAGCCCCTGTCCACTCTCGCGACTCCGCATCCTCCGGTGTGGATCGGCTTCCGAGCCTCAGCCCCGCCCCATCCCGCTGCGCCCTGCCCCATCCCGCTGGGCCACGCCTCCCCCGGCCCCGGGCGGACCCCAGCGGTCGCCCTACCCCCGCTATGGCCGCGCCGGTGACGCGGCAGGTCAGCGGCTGCGCGGGTCCAGTCCTGACCCCAACCGGCTCGGACACAGAACCCGGGCAGCCCCTAGCAGCTGCCGTGGCTGATCTGCCGGTGCTGGATGCATCCGGGAGACGGGTGTCGTTCGGCGCGCTTTTCCGGGAGCGTCGGGCCGTGGTGGTGTTCGTGAGGGTGAGCAGGGTAGGGCGGGACGGGAAGGGCCTCCCGGAGGCCGCCCCGCTGCTGGGTCCGTGTGGGTACCGCCCTTCACCCGGAATCTAGCGCCTGAACCTTCCAGACCCGGCTGCTGCCTTGCTGACGTGCTCTTCCGCATTGTTGTTGCCTTTCAGCATTTCTTGTGTTACGTCTGTAAAGAATATGTCGAGGATCTGGCCAAAATCCCCAAGAGCTTCCTCCGAGTAAGTTTCCTGAGTGAGCGGCAATGACCTGTGCGATGGGGGAACCGTGTGTGGCTGTCACCTCTTCTTCCGTCTTCTAGTGAAGCAGAGACCTAATGAGCTCCTTTGCGCCCTCTTGACTACGTACTAACCATCATTTTTGTTACCTGTAAGCTGCCTGTGTCAAACCCAGTGTTGCGTAAGAATGCAAAATCAAAACAAGACATAGGCTTCAACTGCCTTATATTTTTGACGCTTTAATTTTATAACTCAAATAGTTATTTGGTGCTCCTCCTTGCAACAGTTATTCATTATATGAAAATGTTGTCATATCTTGGAAGTGCAGGTTTGTACTTGCCAATAAGTTCCAAGTCCCGAGCCGGGCGGTGGTGGCGCACGCCTTTAATCCCAGCACTCGGGAGGCAGAGGCAGGCCGATCTCTGTGAGTTCGAGACCAGCCTGGTCTACAAGAGCTAGTTCCAGGACAGGCTCCAAAGCCACAGAGAAACCCTGTCTTGAAAAACCAAAAAAAAAAAAAAAATTAAAAAAAAGTTCCAAGTCCCACGTCCCTGTTTTTCTTCGGTCACCAGATGTGGGTGGAAAATGTGAGTGGAAGACATCCAGATGTGAATGTGATGTATGGATAGAAGGTGTAAATGGAGACACATCCCCGTCCCCAGATGTGGATGGAAGATCTGAGTGGAAGACATTTGTAGAAATAAAGCCTATTTTCAGCACACATGTATCAGTTAGGGTGTATGAGGGAAAAAATGGCCTCTCTTCCTTTTGTTTGCATGTTAATATTCTGAAGCCTCTTTCCAATGTAAAGGCATTACATCTACCTAATATTTTTAATATTATTGACATTGTTGATTTACTGAACATACAAATGGGTCTTCTTATATTTTCATGTGTGAATACTTTGTTCTTATTTGCTGCTTCTCCCTTCCTCCAGAGCCACACTGACTTTGCTGTCTTCATACATATCTTCATATTCCTTTACCCTCTCATGCCCTTCTACCGCAGACCTCATCCTCTCAGCCTCCTTTCTACTTTAATATCCTACGTAAATGCATGCATAGAAATTTAAACCTAGATCCTACATGTGAGAGAAAACAAACATATATGTCTTGCGTGGCTTCTTTGACTTGGCACGCCGATGTCCACTTCCGCCCATTTCCTGCACTTATCATGACCTCATTCTTTATGGCTGATTGCATTTCCATGTGTCTCTGTGATGTTTTTGTTGGTATTGATTTTTTATTTGTTTGTTTTTGTTTTTTGTTTTTCAAGATAGGTTTTCTCTGTGTAGCTCTGGCTGTCCTGGAACTCACTCTGTTGTCCAGGCTGGCCTCAAACTCACAGAGATCCACCTGCCTCTGCCTCCCAAGTGCTGGGATTAAAGGTGTGTGCTACCACACCAGGCTATCAAAATACAAAGAACTTTAAAGGGGATGGATTTTTGGTGATTTTGAAATAGACAGCATGTTGCTAGTCACTATGTCAGTATGCTGGGCAGTAGATTTCTGAAATGATCGTCTTCCTCATATACAACTGAAACTGTACCCTTTGAATGATTTTCTCCCAGACTGTGGTAACCAGACACTGTTTTTTTTTCCTCTACATCCATGAGTTAGACTGTTTGAATCCATATGTATTATAAGTAGAATCGTCTAGTTTTTGTCTTTCTGTTCCTGGCTTATTTCACTTAGCATAATGTCCTCCCTGTTTTCACAGTTGACAAGAAAACAAACCTCCTTTTCCACGAAATGCTACTTCATAGGGATTTATCCTATTTGACCGCTGATAGACACTTGGGTCGCATCCTTGTCTTAGCTGCTGTTGATCGTGCTGCAGTGAACATGGAAGTGTGGGGTCTCTTTGCACGCCCATTTCATTTACTTTTAGTGCATAACCAATTAGTGGCATTTCTGGATCATGTGGTAGCTCTGCCTTTAATTTTTTGAATAGCCTGTGTACTGTTTTCATAAAGTCTATCCTAATTTATTCTCATTAATGCCACAGAAGGATTCTCTTTGTTCTATGTCCTCACTGATAGTTACCTTTTTTTTTTTTTTTTTTTGGTTTTTCGAGACAGGGTTTCTCTGTGGTTTTGGAGCCTGTCCTGGAACTAGCTCTTGTAGACCAGGCTGGTCTCGAACTCACAGAGATCCTCCTGCCTCTGCCTCCCGAGTGCTGGGATTAAAGGCGTGCGCCACCACGGCCCGGCGATAGTTACCTTTTTTTAAAATATGTATTTATTTATTTATTATGTATACAATGTTCTGTCTGTGTATATGCCTGCAGGCCAGAAGAGGGCACCAGACCTCATTACAGATGGTTGTGAGCCACCATGTGGTTGCTGGGAATTGAACTCAGGACCTTTGGAAGAGCAGGCAATGCTCTTAACCGCTGAGCCATCTCTCCAGCCCCCTAGTTACCTTTTTTTGGTTAGTAACATTGCTCCTGGGGTGAAGAGATACTTAATTGCTGTTTTCATTTCCATGTCTCTAATGACTAGTGATGATCATTATTTTTGTGTCGAGAGTGTACAAATTCGTATGCACAGAGGTCAGCCACAGGTGTTGTTTCTCAGGTGCCATTCACCTTGTTTTTTATGTAACGTCCCTCGTTGGCCTGGAGCTTGCTGATTTAAACGGGCTGGCTGAATTGGGACCCCCAGGATCCACCTGTCTCCAACCCATTGCTGGGATCACAGCACTCGCTGCTGCACTGGAATGGATTCTGGGATAGAACTCAAATCATCATGCAAGCACTTCACCCACTGAGCCATCTCCGCAGCCCAAGAATTTTTCATATAGCTACTAACTATTTGTATGTCTACTGTCTTTTGAGAACTGTCTAAGTTTTAACCCCCTCATTGCTGGAGATCAAATCCAGATCCTATGCATACTAGACAGGCCCTGATCCCTAGCCCATTAAGTCTCTTGACAAGTGCATAATTTGCATAGTTTTTCTTAGTCCAGTCAGTGGCCTCTGTCTTTGTTGTTTCCTTTGCTATATAGAATAACACAACTTCTTGTGTGTTTACTTTCATTGTTCTGCTTTATTGATTTATATGTGCATGTGTGGAGGTCAGACAGCCTGCAGGAGTCAGTTCTCTCCTACCTGTGGGTCTCTGAGATGGGAACTCAGGTGATCAGGGACAGCAGCACCTTTACTCACTGAACCAAATCATTGTTATACTGAATTTCCCCCTGTGTTTTCTTCTGGTAGTTTGATGTTTAATGTTTAAGTCTTGAAATTCTTACATAGAGAAAACAAATTATCTGAATTACTCAAATATTGTGCCATATATATCCTTCTACTCATGGAGTTTTGTTTTCTATTCTCCTAGAAGCCTATAGGTGGCATCAGAACAAAACGAAAGAGCTGCTCGAGGGACAGTTCTTAAGGCATGCTTTCTAATAATATGCACTTGTCCCTCTTTTCCCAAAGGAAGCGGATGTCACCCTCATAGTGATTGGGCAATCATCGTACCATCATATTGAGGTAACTAACAAGACAAGAAGCCCCATTTAAATGTGTTTCAGATATAAAAACTGCATTTGCTGAGCCCCTGTATAGTCTCAATTGGCAGAAAAATTTTAGATTGCCATTACTTTTTAGTTGTTCTAATAGGAAGTCTAATTACTCTCGTTTTAGCCTTTCTGCAAACTGACTGGATATTCTCATGAAATCTATGTTGATCCTGAGAGAGAAATTTATAAAAGATTGGGAATGAAAAGAGGTGAAGAAATTTCCTCCTCAGGTAAGACATTGCACATACAGTGTAGTTCTCTCAAGCACGTGTGTCTTCTCACACTAGAGCATATATGCATAGCAAAGCTGTGTTTGATCCTTTTCCTGTTGTTGTGACAAAATAGATATCAAAGGGGCTGGTGAGATAACTCAGTGATTAAGGGCACCTGCTGCTTTTGCGGAGGACCTAGGTTCAGGTCCCAGCACCAACATAGTAACTCACAACAACTTTTAACTCCAGTTCCGAGGAATCTGACACCCTCTTCTGACATCCAAGGGCTCCTGCACACACACACTTAAATATTATTTTTTAGATAATAACAATAAAAATACATCTTAAAAAATTTTGGAGCCGGGCAGTGGTGGCGCACGCCTTTAATCCCAGCACTCGGGAGGCAGAGGCAGGCAGATCTCTGTGAGTTCGAAACCAGCCTGGTCTACAAGAGCTAGTTCCAGGACAGGCTCCAAAACCACAGAGAAACCCTGTCTCGAAAAACCAAAAAAAAAAAATTGGCAAAGGAAATTGTAGGCAGAAGTTTCTGTCCCACAGCAACTCCCAAATACCCAGCAGCTGCTTCTGAAATTACAACAGAGAAGCTTATATTATAAATGCTCGGTCGGTAGCTCAAGCTTATTACTAACTAGCTCTTACGCTTAAATTAACCCACACTTCTTATCTATGTTTAGCCACATGGCTTGGTACCTTTTCTCAGTACAGCTTTCTCATCTGGCTTCCTCTGCATCTGCCCTTCCTCTTCCCAGCATTCTTAGTTTGGTTCCCCAGCCTATCCTTCCTGCCTGGCTACTTCTAATCAGTGTATTATTAAACCGATTCAAGTGACAAATCTTTACAGTTTACAAAGGGATTATTCCACAGCAGGGAATTTAAGGTATCAACACTGTTCAGAAGTCCAAAGGCTCCCCTGAGATTCAGGCTTTTAACTGTGAGCTCTCAAAAAAAAGAAGACAAGATCTCCGGAGTAAATTGGAAGCATGGGGGGGGGGGAGTAGTAGGGGGAAAGGTCAAAGGGGAGAGGAGAGGAGGGAAGGGAAGTGGGAGAAAATGTACAGCTGTTGGGGCCCATGCTTCAACAAGGATACCACTTACCAGGGTCGGGGCATGGGGATTAGGAAAATAGTAAAGAAAATGAAGACGTTAATGGAAATAATAAAACAGAAAACATAGGATAGAATTGGGAGGGCGTTCCAGTGAATCCTGAAATTCACCTACATTTAATTTTCCATACACTTTTATACCCCAGTCCCACAGGGGTAAGAAGACAAAAGACCATGTGATACAAAGGAGAACTCAAATAGTTACTTGCTTCAATACTTTGAGACATCAAGTCAACATTTTGTTGTTTAGGCAGTGAACCCGCCGTAGACCAAGTATCCTGAATGCAGCCACTCCCAGGGTCAAACCTCCTATTTTCCTGCACTGGGAGGGAGGGAAGAGGTAGCTGGATCTCTGTGAGTTCGAGGCTCCGCCTGTTCTACAGAGTGAGTTCCAGGACAAGCTCCAAAGCTACAGAGAAACCCTGTCTTGAAAAACCAAAACCAAACAAAAAAATCAAAAGAAGGAGCAGCAGAAGTATGCTTGAATTTCCTGACCCTTGGTCAGGGGATAGTGAATCTACCATCTTAATGTCAAAAGGACCAAGTAAGCCTGGCGGTGGTGGCGCACGCCTAATCCCAGCACTTGGGAGGCAGAGGCAGGCGGATCTCTGTGAGTTCGAGACCAGCCTGGTGTACAAGAGCTAGTTCCAGGACAGGCTCCAAAACCACAGAGAAACCCTGTCTCGAAAAACCAAAAAAAAAAAAAAAAAAAAAAAGGACCAAGTAACCACACCCTCGGTCAGGACGTGTCGACAATTTTGAGCAACCTCTAACTCTCTGACCTTCAGACAAGGTGGAAATCGTCTCACATTTTTGGGCCTCCACGTAATAGCACATTCTTATCTAAACAATTAAAATGAGAAGGATTTTAAAAATAAATAAATAATATCTTAAAAATTTTACATATTATAGCTGGGCGGGGGTGGCACACACCTTTAATCCCAGCACTCAGGGAGGCAGAGGCAGGCAAATCTCAGTGAGTTTGAGGCCAGCCAGGTCTACAGAGTGAATTCCAGGACAACCAGAGATACACAGAGAAACCCTGTGTCAAAAACCAAAAAGGAAAAAGAAAGACTTATTTTAAATGTACATATTTTATTAATTTTATAAAATACAATGGTGCAGAGTAAACACTCCCATTCCAGAAAAAAAGAAAGGAAAGCTAATTGGTGTCTTAGTAAGGATTTCTGCTGTGGTGATGAAACACCATCACCAGAACTAACCTAGGGGAGGAAAGGGCTCATTTCGTCTTATACATCCACGTCACAGTTGTCGTTGAAGGATGCCAGGGCAGGAATCAAGGCTGGGACCTGGAGGCCTGAAGTGAAGCAGAAGTCTACTTATTGGCTTGTTCCCCATGCCTTGTCAGTCTGCTTTCTTATACACCCTAGGATCACCTGCCCGGGGGTGGTACCACCCACAGTGAGATGGACCCTCCCACATCAATCATTAATTAAGGAAATGCCCCACAGATTGCCTACAGGCCAATCTCATGGAGGCATTTTTCTCAATTAAGATTATCTCTTCCTAGATGTTTCTAAGTTTGTGTCAAAAACTAACCAGGGCAGCAAGGAAAGACCAAACACTGCAGGACTAGCACCAAATCCTGCAACTCCAGGTCCCAAATCTGGAACTCCTGGTGGAATCCTCACCCATCCGGTTCTACCGTCTGCAGCACGGGTTGCCTTTCTGTTGATCTGGCTCCACTTCATGCCTGAGGCTTGCTTCCTTAAAATTTATTTATTTATTTACTTGTGTTAATTAAATTTAATCATTTATTGCCTGAGGCTTTCTTTAGCAGATGTCCCACAGCCTTGGCATTTTTAGCATCGTGGTATTCCCAGAGCAGCCTAAGTTTCACCTTCACACCTCTGTGCCATCCCTGCCAAGCTGCTTGCCAAGAATGTGACCCTGCCACACACTGCCTGGCCCCAGTGGCTCTGTGGGACATGGGTGCAAGCTGTCATGACCTCACAACTTTGCATTTCTTGTGTCCACAAAACCACACAGGCAACGCTTCCTAGCTCTGCCAGCTCAAGTAGCAGAGGGGCCCCTTCTACAACAGTGTTGATGACCTGAGTCTTGGCTATTGAACCTGGGCAAACACTTCCTTGAGCAGTTGTCTTGGACTGAGAGCCCCTCTGACGGACAGAGTACTGTCAGTTCATGCTCTTCTTAGGTGGATTTACATTCGCACAAGTCTGAGGCTCCAGTCTTGGGGTCCTGCCCTCAAAGCAGCTCTCCTGTCTGTGAAGAGCTTTCATACGTTCTGTGGGGGCATTTACTTCCATGATTAATATAAAAATATGATGAGTTTACATGCTTTTGCCCTGTCTCTGCCTCCCAAATACTGGGATTAAAGGAGTTCACACCACTGTTTGGCAAATACACACATTTTAAATGAAAAATACTAGATTCTATAAAGCAATTTTTTTTTTTTGAGACAGGGTTTATCTGTGTAGCCCTAGCTATCCTGGAATTCACTCTGTAGACCAGGTTGGCCTTAAACTCACAGAGATCCACCTGCCTCTGCCTCTGAGTGCTGGGATTAAAGGTGTTCATGTGTACCATCTGGAAAGATTTTATAAAGTGATTTTTAAAGTTTTATTTTTATTTTATGTGTGTGAGTATTTTGCCTGTATGTACCATGTGCAGTGTCCATGGAGACCTGAAGAGGGAATTGGATCCCTTGGGGCTGAAGTTTCAGACTGTGAACTACTTGGGGTGCTGGGAACTGAGCCGTCCCTTTACTTCATAAAATGCTTTGAAAGGTTCTTCACAGTTCTGAGAGTCATTCCTAGGATATTCAAAAGCTAAATCACTAAGGGTGGGGAAATGGCTTAGTGGTTAAGATATTGGTTGCTCTTTCAAAGGACACAGGTTCATTCCCAGCACCCACATGGTATCTCACAACCATCTGTAATTCTGATTCTAGGGGACCTGATGCCCTCTTCTGGCCTCTGTGGGCACTGCATGTACATGGTGCACAGCTCTATGTGCAGGCAAAATGCCCATGCAAGTAAAATAAAAATTTAAATAATAAATCTGCTAAGTTTATATTTTATGCTAAATGTTAAGTGATTATGTCATAGTTTCATTTCTGCGGCTGTGATAAAACATCCTGCCAAATGCAACGTGAGGGAGAGAAGGTGTACTTGGCTCATGATCCTAGACTATAGGCCTTCAGTACAGAAAGTCAAGGTTGCAGGGACTTGCCGCAACCAGTCACATTACATCACAATCAAGGCGAGAGCCTTGAATGAACGTGTGCTTGCTTGTGCTCAGCCTCCTTTCTACTCATACGTAATCCAGGATCCCCTAACCAGAGAGAGAATGGTGCCACCCACAGTGGATACACTAACCATAATTTCCCACAAACCTGTCATCTAGACAGTTCTTCACTGAAATTCCCTTCCCAGATGATTCTAGACCATCTCAAACTAACATTAGCATTAACCACCATAGACTGTTTGCTTGAATCTGTGAGTCAGTCAAGAAAACTCATTGCATTCCAAAAGGGCTTGTAGGAATCCCACTATAACCAGTCACAGTCTTCTGGTGTGCAGACATATATAACACCCATATACATAAAATAAATACATTTTTTTTTAAAAAAAATTTGTTTTTCGAGACAGGTTTCTCTGTGTAGCTTTGGAACCTGTCCTGGCACTCACGTAGACCAGGCTGACCTCCAACTCACAGAGATCCACCTGCCTCTGCCTTCCAAGTGCTGGGATTAAAGGCGTGTGCCTGGCTCAGTTTTGAAAAATTAAACGACCTAGGCTTGTGGTTACTGTCTGTATTAGATAGGGACTTATCTTGAAACCTAGCCTTCCACCTGTCTGATCTGACATTATCTTCAGGTAGATTTTTGTCACCACCAAGTTACTGCTTGCTTGGCTTGTAGATAAAGGTGTCTTCACGTAGCTGGAGCCAAACTGATCTGAGTCAGAAGAATGCAGTAGAGGAAGGTAAGTTTAGTCTGAGTGGTTTTTTTTCTGTATAGTCATCAAACTTTAAAAGTCAGACATAAACAAGGCAAGAATAAGAGAAAAATAGTTATAAGATACAGCAGAGACTGAGTTTCTCAGCTCAAAAGGAGCAGGAATGTTAGTCACAGAGCAGAAACTGTGAAAAAAAAATCAGTCACTGTGAAAAGAGAAGTAGATGACAGGCATCAAGCCTTCTGAGACCCAGGCCTTGCCCTCCTGTGACTGTGTCATTTCCCATCCAAGGTTTCCAAGATTTGGAGAGAGGTTTTGGGAGCTTGCTCCAGAAGCAACCCCTTCACTCAGTAACTAGAACATTACCACAGCTAATGTGAGGGAAACCGGAAAGGGCAGCCTAGTCATGGGCCCAGGAAGGCAAGGTGTTGACCGTCGCTGAACAGCCTGTGCAGACTGTGTTCTGGGGAGGAGGCAAGGAACCAAGCAAGTGTACATGGGAGACTAAGAAGCAAGACAAATGAGAAGTTTGCAGTGATGTTCTCTGTGGCAGATTGTAGTAATAAGGGCGGCGGGGCTGCGTTCCCAGCACCCCGGCTGCCTGCTTAGCTTATGCCCAAAATAACACACAAACTGTCTTCATTTAATCACTGCTTGGCCCTTTAGCTCTAGCCCTTACAGGCTAATTCTGATATCCCAATCAACCCATCTCTAATAATCTGTGAGCACCGGTTTTACCGGGAAAGGTTCAGCATGTCTAACCTGGCGGCTTGCTTCATCGCGTGCGTCTGCCCGGGAGAGCGGAGCATGGCATCTCTCTGAGGCGTCTGCTCCCGAGAGGAGAGCTGTGGAGTCTGAGCTCACTTCCTCTTCCTCCCAGCGTTCTGTTCTGTTTACTCCTCCCACCTATCTTCTAACCAATGAGGGCCAAGCAGTTTCTTTTTATTTAACCAATGACCTTCCTCCACCAGCAGATGGCCCAGGTCCATCCCTTCTTCCTTTAAGACAGTGTCCTCAGCAGACATTACCCTCCTGGCATGTTTGTCCTTCACTGGAGATAGTTTTCGGTTGTCCAACTCAGTGACCAGTGTTATGGACATTTAGCAGTTGTAGAAAGCAAGGATGTTGTTGCCAAATGTCTTACACTATACTAGAAAAGGACTGCCTCTGCCAGTGCAGCGGCAGGGTAAGCCGTTGTTAAAGTTCAGTACTGTGCTTTCTGCTGCAGAGTCAGGAAAGGATGATGGCCCCAATACAGAGTGCTTCCAGACTGGAGAGATGATGGCTCAGCCACTGGGAGCTCTCACTGCTCTTGTGAAGGACCCAAGTTCAGTTACCAGTGCTCACAACCACTTATAACTCCATCTGCAGGGGATTCAGCACCTTCTTCTGCCCTCCAGTGGGCACAACACGCACATGTACAATCACACACGGATACAGACATACATACAGACAGACAGACAGACATAATTTAAAGTAAGTCTTTTTTTAAAGAATGTTTTATACAAGAACTGACGTGTTTTTTAAATTTATTGTACATGCTGACCACAATTAATCATCCCTCCTCTTCTCTTCCCTCTCCCCATCCCCATGCACTCCTCCTCTGTCTCCATTCAGAAAGGGGCAGGCCTCCCATGAGAGTCGACAAAGCATGCACATCAAGTTGAGGCCGGACCTCTAAGGCAACCCAGCATGGGGAATGGGTTCCCAAAAGCTAGCTCAAGTACCTGGAACAGGTCCTAATCCCACTGCTAGGAGCCCCACAAACAGAGCAAGCTACATAACTGTCACACACATGCAGAACGCCTAGGTCAGTTCCAGGCAAGCTCCCTAGCTGATGGTCTAGAGTCGGTGAGCTCCCATGAGCTCAGGTCAACTGTCTCTCTGGGGTCCCCTGTCATGACCCTGACCCCCTCCCCCTGGCTCATACAATCCTCCCTCCCTCTCTCTCTTCAACAGAACTCCCAGAGCTTGGCCAGTGCTTGGCTGTGGATCTTTGCATCTAACACTTACTTGCTGAATGTTCTCTAATGCAATTAGGATAGTCACCAGCCTGATAACAGGAGGAGGTCAGTTCAGGCCCCCTCTCCACTATTGCTAGGACTGACATCTTATTGGAATACAAACACCTAAAGACAATTTTCAATATTTCAGGACAGAGCCCCCACATAAAATCCAACCTGCTTTCAGGAAGCCTTCAGAGCCTGTGGCGGGCAGTCACTGGCCCGCTTTTTGATTTCCAAGGAGACCCAGCTCAGCAAGGCGGAACCTTCATTTTAGGTCCAGGTGAGCATCAAGGACAGGTTATGTCTCGGTGCCCTCGGCAGTCTAAGAGCCATCCACCTTCCTTATGTGATAGATACTGGTCTAATGAGAGGGCGTGCTCTGATAAGGAGCATCTTTCATTTTCAGAGACTTCTGGGTATTGATGTCTGTGTTTGATGAGGGTCCTCATCACTATAGAGTGAGGGCAGGGACTTGGGACACAGAGAGTAAGCTATGAGTTGCTGATTAAAAGTTCAACGGGGCTTAAAGAAATTGCTCAGCGTTTATGAGCACTGTGTGCTCTTGCGATGGACCTAATTCAGTTCCCAGCACCTATATCAGGTGACTCACAACCACCTATAACTTTAGCTCCTAGGGATCTGATGCCCTCTTCTGGCCTCCTTGGGGACCTACACTCATGTGTACAACCTCCCCCTCCCCACATACTTATAAATATACATAATTAAAAATAAAATAAATCTTAAAGGAGTTCAGTGCTCACTTTGGCAGCACATATCCTAAAATTGGGACAATGCAAAGACGAGCATGGTCGCTGCATAAAGGACAACATTCGGATTTGCATCCTAGTCCACATTGTTCCTTCGGCACTCAGAAGAAATCTGGAAATTTCCATGAACAAAGTGGGGGATCCAGATGTGCACAGTGATACCAGGCTGGTCAGAGCCATCTGGCCCAAAGGAATAGGAATGCTCCAGAGTGGGCCCCTGTCCATTTGTCCAGAAAACGAATTGAGGCTGAGGAGTCACCAGTCTCTACACTTTGATAACCTGTGTCCTTATCACCCATTAAAAAAAATCTCCAGACAGAAAAACAGACATAGTTGGGAGGTAGAGGCAGGTAGATTTTTGATTTCAAGGCCATCCTGGTTTATAGACTGAGTTCCAGGACAGCCAGGGCTTAAAAGGAAAAAAAAAAAAACTAAAAAGCAAAAAACCAAAACAAACAAAAAACCTACAGTTAGTGCGAATGAGAATATGGAATAAAGTTACAGAACTGTCAAAATATAAGTTCAATAGGGGCCTGACCAGATAGCTTCCCAGATAAAAACACTTGCTATTCAAGCTTGGAGAGGTGAGTTCCTTTTGTAAATGAAAGAATCTTTACTTTTGCTGACTGAAGTAAGAAACCCACACAGTGTTGGAAAGCGAGCCAGTACCAGGGTTAGCTCGTTCTGAAGTGAGGACTGCCATAAGGCACGGCTTCAACAACCGCATTGACCGTGTCTGGGCCAGCAGTGTGGAAAGCAGACTTTCTCCACATTCACGGTCTGCAGTAACAGACCAAACAGCCACTGGCGTAGGCAGATTTTTCTTCATTCTCTGCCTCTTTAAAATTGTACCTCCTGGTGAATTATTAACACGTCTACCAGTCCCAGACTCTTCAAAGGCCTGCTTTTGACTAAGTGTTTTGTTTTTTGTAGCAGGCACACTTGTACCCATCTCTTACAAATGTAGATCATTTAAAAAAATAAAGAAAAAGAAAAAGCTCTTTGGAGCTGGAGTTGTAACTCAGTGGAAGGTGCATTGTCTCCTAGGCTCATCATCGATAAATGACTAAGTAAATACGTGAGCCCATTTTGAGCTCAGCTCAGAGCTCGCTCCTTTCCATCCTCCCCCCCTTTTTTTCTTTTTTTGAGACAGCGTCTCCTGACGTACCTGTGGCTGTTCTAGACCTCCCTCTGTAGTCCAGGCTGGCCTTCAACTCACAGAGATCGGCCTGTCTCTGCCTCCTGAGTGCTGGGATTCTTTAATCCACTACCTCCCAGCCTCCATATTCTTTTCTTTCTCCATAGTATCGGGTATTTCACCCAGGATCTTGTGTACTATACCGGTGCTTCCATCACTGAGCTACACCCCAATCTTCCAGACCCATATTTTTGCATAACTAATTTGCATCCCCAGACCTGGAAGGTGTTGTTGGAGGCTGTTCGTTTGTTCCCAGACATTCAGACCCAAAATAATTACACAGAAACTATATTATTTAAAACACTGCTTGGCGCCGGGCGGTGGTGGTGCAGGCCTGCCTTTAATCCCAGCACTCAGGAGGCAGAGGCAGGCGGATCTCTGTGAGTTCGAGACCAGCCTGGTCTACAAGAGCTAGTTCCAGGACAGGAACCAAAACCACAGAGAAACCCTGTCTCGAAAAACAAACAAACAAAAAAGAGAGTAAAACACTGCTTGGCCAATAGCTTAAGCGTATTGCTAGCTAGCTCTTATATCTTAAATTAACCCATTTTCATGATTTTATATTTTACCACAAGGCTTGTGGTTTACTGGTAAAGTTCCCAGGCATCTGTCTCCTTCCGTGGCAGCTACATGGCATCTCACCGACTCTGCCTACCTTCTCTGTACATCTATGTTTGGATTTCCCGCCTGGCTTTACTCTGTTAAGCCACTGGCCAAAAGCAGCTTTATTCATTAACCAATAAAAGCAACACATATACAGAAGGCCCTCCCACACCAGGAAAGGGTTGTTGATTTTTACCCCATTCCTCATCTCATGTCACTGAGTCATTTGACCATTGTCTTAGTATTTCTACTGCTGTAGAGACATCAACAGCAACTGTTGGTGATGGTGATGATGATGATGATGATGATGATATACAGTGTTCTGCTTGTGTGTATGTCTGTACTCCAGAAGAGGGCACCAGATCTCATTACAAATGGTTGTGAGCCACTGCGTAGTTCCTGGGAATTGAACTCAGGACCTCTGGAAGAGCTGTGACTGCTCTTAACCTCTGAGCTATCTCTCCAGACAGGGTTTCATCAACTGTTATATAGGAAAACATTTAATTGGGGCTGGCTTGCAGTTCAGAGGTTGAATTCATTATCGTCATGACAGGAAGCATGGCAGCATGCAGGCAGACATGGTGCTGTAGAGATAGCTGAAAGTGCTACATCTGATTTGTCAGGCAGCAAGAAGAGAAAGTGCCACATGGGACCTAGCTTGAGCTTCTGAAACTTCAAAGTGGTCCTGTTGACATAGTTCCAATAAGACCTTACCTACTCCAACAAGGCCACATGTCCTAATCCTTTCAAATAATGCCTTATAAGCCACACCATATCCACAGGGGATGAAGAATTAAACCTGTTGCTATAGATGTGGCCAGTGGACATGATGCCAAAAAGCATGTTCTTTGAGCTAATGTTTCAAGTTAAATTCTGGTTTTGGCTGCATGGTGGCACATACCTTTAATCCCAGCATTTTGGAGTCAGAGGCAGGAGGATCTCTGTGAGTTCAATCTACATAGTATTTCCAGGCCAACCAGTGCTATATAATAGAGAGATCCTGACTCAAAACAAACAAAAATTCTGGTTTTGAGTTGCAGGTGGAACTAACAGGATTTAGGCGATAAATTACAACTTGAGTGTATAGGATTGTGGGTGTCTAGGTTTACTGTAGCTAGCTGGCTTCCTGCCTTCACTCCTAACCTCTTTGGTTAGTTATAAAGCATTCTATGAAATCAGTGTTTTTCTTTCCTTCTCGCTCTCTCTCTTTTTTTTTGTGGCAGTGCTAGGGATGACCCAGAGCCTCATGAGTACTGCACCCCCTAGCCCCCAGGAGTGAATTTTTTGAAGCAAATGATTTATTTTATTATTGCATATGCTAAGGAAATAGATCTTAATTTCCCAGCTGATACCTATGTTAGTTCCAAATTCTGCCTGTCTGGTTGGATGTTTTATTTAATTATACTTGAAACTGAATAGAAGGGTATAATTTAGGATGCTGTTCCCTCAGAGCTCATAATTTGTTAAGAAACACTCTTATTCAACCATTGCCTTGTCATGGTTAATTGCCATGATGCAGAATTATGGTGGCATTACATAGGAAGTATAATGGACTCCAGGTAATTAATTTTTCCCTTTGGACTAATTAGCAATTGCAATACTTCCTTGATCCCGGTAAGCAGTAAATCTAAAGACTAGCACGGCATTTGCCCTCAGCATTTGTCCTTGTTCTCTTCTAGGTAACAGCATCCACTTTGTGCACCGAGACAGAAATAGGTTGGATCACAAGCCCATAAACTCTGTTTTACAGCTTGTGGGAGTTCAGCCTGTGAACTTCATGAGCAGACCTACAGTTATCCATGTGTGAATGGGCCCTTGAAACGTGAGACAAAATACCAGGCTTCATGAGATTATGAAAATAAAACTCATGTGCCTATAGAATTATATTGAGAGGCATCAGGAAAAAGCATTTTAAATTTTATAGCCTCTATAATTATTCATTCAATGAAAGATTTTTGGCAACTAAAATATAAGAAGGGGGCTGGAAAGATCACTTCGTGATTAAGAGCACTTGCTTCTCTTGCAGAGGACCTAGGTTTGGCTCACAATCATCTGTAGCCCCAGTTCTAAGGTATCCAACACCTTCTTCTGGCCTTGGGGACCAGGTGCACATGTGGTAAACATGCATAAATGTAGGCAAGCACATGAAAGAAGGATAAATAAATCCTATAAAACTACATACATATGTGCATACATGCATGCATGTATGAAGGAAGGGAAGAATGGGCCAGGTATGATGGCACAGGTTTGTAATCCTAACACTGAGAAATGGGACAAGAATTCAGCCTGCCCAAGCAATGGGTGGTACACACCTTTAAACCCAGTGCTTGGGAGGCAGAGGCAGGAGGATCTCTTGTGAGTTCGAGGCCAGCCTGGTCTACAGAGCTAGTTCCAGGACAGGATCTAAAAGCTACAGGGAAACCCTGTCTCTAAAAACCAAATAAATAAATAAAATAACAAAAAGCAAATAAATGTACAGCCAGATGTGGTGGTGCGTGGGGAGGAGGCAGGAATTCTAGAACAGACTTACATTTCTAGATACCTGCTTTTCTCACCCCCAAATCTGTCTTATTTAGAAAACTATTGTCATATTTTACTTTTTAAGAATTTTAGTTTGGCCAGGCAGTGGTGGCACACACCTCTATTCCCAGCACTCAGGAGGCAAAGGCATCTCTTCAAGTTGGAGGTCAGCCTGGTCTACAGAGCAAGCACCAGGATAACCAAGGCTAAATAGACAAACCCAGTCTCAAAAACCAAAGGAAGCAGGGGAGAATCTTAGTTTTTTTTTGTTTGGTGTTTTTGTTGTTGTTGTTGTTGCTGTTGTTGCTTTTTCTATTCTTTGAGACAAGGTTTTTCTGTATAGTCTTAGCTGTTCTGGGACTCCTGCTCTGTAGACCAGGCTGACCTAGAACTCAGAGATCTGCCTGCCTTTGCCTCACAAGTGCTAGGATCAAAGGTGTGTGCCACAACCACCCAGCTAAGAATCTTAGTTTTGTCTCAGAAATTCTCAAGAAAACTATCTCAAAATCAAAATATTGATAATTCTTAGCAACTGTAATACTACTATGACCTTATACTTTTATATAAGCATATTAACTCACAAAACTATTTAATGTATTTTCACACAAATATATATGGACAGTCATGGTTTTAAATCAATAAATTTAAAATTAAATTTTTTTGCTATTTTTTGTTTGGAATATTTTGTTTGTTCTGGGGTCCTTTGGGGGTGAGGGAGAACAGTTCCTCATTATGTCGTAGGCTGGCTTAGGCTTCCCTAGCCCATTGAGAGATGGCTCATCCTCCTCTTATAGAGGTCCTGGGTTTGTTTTCCTGCACCCATACCAGGCCTCTCACAAATGCTTATAACTCCAGTTCCAGGGGATCTGACCTCATCAGCATGTGCATGCAAATGGCGTACATGTCCTCTGATACACACACATACAATGTGTAAGGAATAAATCTTAAAACAACCACAAACCTGTCTATCTTAGGCTGGTCTTGAACTCTCAAGCCTCCTGCCCCAACCTCTCGGTGCCGGAATTAATACAGGTATATGCTGTCACACCCAGCCTGTTCTATTTTGAACATAAAAGAAAGAATAATAGCCAGATCCCCTTTTGCCAGTTTTAACCAAAATTTATATATTTGCAAGTATAAATAAGTGTTATATTTGTGGCTTTAGGGAGGTACAGATCCATAAGGACTGTGCATACGGTTGCCACCCGAATATATGAATACCAAGGCAACAGCTGGGTGTGATGCTGTCTGTGAAGGGGTACCATGATCACGGCGACTCTTTGTTGTTGTTGTCTTCGAGACAGCCTTGGCTGTGAAACTTGCTTTGTAGAGCAGGCTGGTCTTGAACTCACAGAGATCCACCTGCCTCTGCCTCCTGAGTGCTGGGATTAAAGGCATGTGCCACCACTGCCCAACTCTTTAAAAAAAAAAAAGCATTTAAGTACTCGCTTTGGCAACATACATACTAAAATCTGAATGATACAGAGAAGATTAGCATAGCCTCTTCACAAGCATAACATATAGATTTGTAAAGCCTTCCATATTTTTGTAGAATTCTGCAGTTTAAAAAAGGCATTTAATTGGGGATGTGTTTACAGTTTCAGAGACTCAAAGCATTAGCATCATGGCAGGAAGCATGGTGGTATGTAGGTGTTGTAAGACCTTTACATCCTGATCTGCAGGCAGAGACAGACAGACAGACAGATAATGCTTATGGGCTTTTGAAACCTCAGAGCCCACCCTCCAGTGGTATACCTCTTCCACCAAGGCCACATCTTCTAACCCTTCTAATCCTTTCAAACAGTCCAATTCCCTGGTGACTAAGCATTCAAATACATGAGCCTCTGGGGACCATTGTAATTTAAACCATCACAGGTAACATGCACCTATAGTCTCACTTACTTGGGAAATGGATCATTCACTGGCGCCCAGGACCAGCCTGGGCATTGTGTGTGTGTTATAAAATTATAATGCACACTGAACTATATAAACATACTCCCACCCAGGTCATGATTATACTAAAATCGAAATCCTGAAACTCTTTCTATGAAAAATGTAGACATTGTAGATAAAACAATAATATTGGACTGGGGAGTGTGGCTCAGTACTTACCTAGCATGTTCAAGGCACTGGGTTCTTACACAATACCACCAAACAAAACAAAACTAAAACATTTTTGTGGTGCTCTGTGTTCACCTATACACTCTTTGCACACCGTGTGGAATTACTATTATAACCATCATCCAGAACACACATTTCACAGAGAAGAACCTTTTTTACAAGAAACTCCAGAGGGGCCACAAACAACCTGAAAGCAGGCTGATGACAATGTGTGAAGTCACGGATCACCTGGGAGGCAGGAACTCATTCCCAGCTTATGAGAAAGCTGTTCTTTGGCCACTTCAAACAACAGATAGAGTTAACTACGACCCTTGCATGAAACCCTCTGAAGACAACACCTGGGGTCCGAGACCCATGGGCTGCACCTTCTCAGAACGGTCAGATTCCCCATGGGCCATGACCCCATGAGGGAATTCACTGGGAACCTTCTGCAGTGAACCTCTGTGCAAACAAAAACCTCGATGACATAACAGCAGATTTTGAAAAGTATGGCTGAAAGCAAGGAACAGTCAACTAAACTGCAGTCACAACTACTCAGGACGCTGAGGCAAGATCTCTTAGCCCACAAGTCGCATAACAGCCCTGGCAACAGCAGCCCCTAGCTAATAAAGGAAAACAAACCAATCAGGCTGGCCTGTAGCTCATTGACAGTATTTGTCTCACGTTATCTTGAGCACTGGGGGGAAATCATGCTCAGATTTTTGTTTTAGGGGAAGGGTATGTAGTTCCATGGTAAAATGCTTGCCCAGCATGTACAAGGTCCCTGAGTTCCATCCCTAGAAACAAAGTAAATCTTAATTTAAAATAGAGAATGAACCCCAAGAGGACTTGGGATAGACGAGAAATCTGCAAACACTTGCTAAAGTTACCTTCTACCATGCAGCCGAGGTGAACTCTGACCATGTAGATGGAGAAACGTCTAAGGATGTGTAGTGTTCTACTTCAAAATCAATAGTCATTTTAAGCAGAGCGTTCTAGGGCTGGGTTGTGACATGGTGGTAGATGCTTGCTTAGCAGCACAGGCAGATGAAAGAATGGATGATGGATGGATGGATCATTTAAGACGTGCTCTTGACATGCATACATTTTGTAAAAAAATGGTTTTCAATTTAGCTTAAAAAATTCATTTTAGCTAGGCATGGTTGCATATACTTTTAATCCCAGCATTCAGAAGGCAGAAGGAAGTAGATCACTATGAGTTTGCGCCAGGCTGCTCTACATAGTGAGTTCTAGGCCACCTAGGTATATAGTGATGCTCTGCCCCCCAAAAGAAAAACCTCAACAAACCAAATCCTCCATAATTGTTAGGGGCTAGTGAGATGACTCAGAGAGGAAAAGGTACTTGTCACCAAGCCTGAAAGCTTGTGTTCTGTTCTTGGTAGAAAGGGGGAATCAATTTCTGAAAGTTGTTTTCTAACCGCACATGCACTGTAATGTTTATAAACACATATGTACACACGTGCACACCACCACTGCCTACGTGTTTTTTAAATCACAAAAAACAAAAAAAGTTCCTAGAAAAATATCAATGATATTTTGGATTTAGACAAGATTCAGACAAATAAAATAAAAACAGGCTAAATAATAAAAACATTTAAAGAACATTTGTTGTTCTGGTTTTTTTTTTTTTGTTTTGTTTTCTTTGTTTTTTTTGTTTTTCGAGACAGGGTTTCTTTGTGGCTTTGGAGCCTGTCCTGGAACTAGCTCTGTAGACATTTATTGTTCTGTTTATTTTATTCTTAGTTAAGAATTATTCAATATTAAGATCACATACTGAACCAGGCAGTGGTGGTGCACATCTTTAATCCCAGGCCTTGGGAGGCAGAAGCCAACTTGGTCGACAGAGCTAGTTCTAGGATGGCAAGGCCAAAGAAACTGTCTTGAAAAGCAAAACAAAACAAAAAACAAGCAACAACCAAAAAAAAAAAAAAAAAAAAAAAAAAAAAAACACTGATCTTCAGAGGACCCAAATCCAGGTAGCTCACAACCACAAGTGACTCCAGCTCCAGAGGACCCAACACGCTCTTCAGGACTCCTTGGGCACTGCACACATATGTGCATACACACACACACACACACACACACACACACACACACACACACAATCAGCCAGGCATGGTAGTACACACCTGTAATCCCAGCACTGTATACATCTCCAGAGTCTGCCTCACATAGAAGCCAGACAAGAGGCTGGAGGATGCCAACTGTAACACTGTCACAGCTATGAACTGGAGATGCCCCAAATGTCCAGCACCAGAAAAATGGTCAAGGACATTGTGTTTATCGTATATACCCGTGAGATACAAACCAAAAGCGTGCATAGCTGAGAGGCGTGTCTTAGTTACTTTTTATTGCTGTTCAGAGATGTCACGACCAAGGGAACTTACAGAGGGAAACATCTAAAGGGACTCAGTTTCAGAGGGGTTAGAACCTGCAACTGTCGTGGCAGGCGTGTACTGTAGCTGAGAGGTCACGTTTAGACAGTGAGACAGAGAGCCAACTGGAATGGTACGGGTTTGTAAACCTCAAAGCCCTCCACTGTGACACACCTCCTCCTTCCCAAACAGGTCTACCCACTGGGGACCAAGTATTTAAATATGTAAGTCTATGGGGATCATTTTCACTTATGTTACCACACAACATGATCCCAGAAAACAAAGCAGTTACAGAGAAAAAAAATCCTTTATGTAATACACACATTTATATATATACATATATGTGTACTGTATATATATTATACATGTATATGTATACATACATACACATATACATACACACATACATACACACATATTTAGGCTGGGCAGTGGTGGCACACACCTTTAATCCCAGCACTTAGGAGGCGGAAGCAGGCAGATCTCTTTGAGTTCGAGGCCAGCCTGGACAGGCCCCAAAGCTACGAGAAACTCTGTCTCAAAAAAAAAAAACAAAATAAACAAGCAAATAAACAAAATTTATAAATATATATTTAAATGTGTGTGTAGTTTCTTGCTTTTTTGTTTTATGAGGCAGGATCTCACTATGTAGCCCTGTTTGGCCTCATGCTCACTATGTGGATTAGACTGGTTTAAAATTTACATAGCTTTACCTACTCTGCTTCCCAAATTAAATCCTGATGAACTGAGTTCAATTCCTGGGACCCATTTGGTGGAATGAGAGAACTGAGTAATGTATGTTGTTCTCTGACAGCCTTCTAACATACACACACACACACACACACACACACGCACACACCTACACACACATGTGCACACACACATGCTGTGGCAAACACGTGAATACATACATATATACTCACACACAAAAACAAATAAATGTAATTTTAAAAAGAAGGCTAGGGAACATAGCTCAGCAAGTAGAGTGGCTGACACCCATGAAGCCCAGATTCCCAGTGCTGCATATGCCCAGACACAGTGCCACATCTCTGCAGCTCAAGCACTTTGGAGATGGAGGCAGAAGGACCAGAAGTTCAGGTCATCCTCAGCTACATAGTGAGTATGAGACCAGCCTGGGCTACTACATAAGACCCTGATTCAAAAACAAAG